TTACTTTCCTTCCCAAATTCACCACTGTCTGTCTGCCTGTCTCAAAGTCTGTCTGTCTGTCTCTCTGTCAGTCAGTCAGTCAGTCAGGCAGTCTGTCTGTCCGACTGTCTGTATGTCTGTCCGTTCATCTCGTCTCGTCTCGTCTCGTCTCGTCTCGTCTCGTCCCTGTCTCCCTGTCCCTCCGTCCCACCTCAACTGGTGGAGTGGTTTGTGTTTCACACAAAGTCGAGTGATCTTATCTCAGCACTAGTTGCATTCTACCACATTACCGTGACACAAGATCCTTCGTCCCAATTGCAAACCAGATGGTTGGGTTGTACTGATGTGAAGAGGAATGGATAGACCCTCGAGGGGTGGTGAAACTGTGGAACTTGTTGTACTTCGCTTATGCTGAATATCGTGGAATGCGCAGATTAACGAAGCGCCTCACATCTCTCATCTGGAAGATGTAGTTGCTGCTTGGATGAATACTTTCAGTGATCTAAGTGATCCACATTGAACAGTGGCATTGCTTGTGCCACCCGACGTCTTCGAGTCTTGTCTTGCAAGCGTAATGGTCCATGCACCTCGACTGGAATAATATCGGTGGCACAGTTGCAAGCCCTTTGGTTCCATCTGCACCAGGTAAGGTACAAACCCTCCTCACGAGGCAACATGCCACAAATTTAACTCCACTTGTTATCACTGCTGTTGTGTTGAATAAGGCAATGCGAATAATCCTCACTTGATTTGCGTGTTGGGAAGTATTTACTGGAGTTGTCGAGGTTTCCCCACAGAGTGGGTAAACCGATGTGAGAAGGGTGGGGGACATAGAGTGATTTGAAGGTGTCGGTCCACAGCGATGCATCAGTGGGAAGTTAGTCATGTGGTTACTGTCTGCGTGGTTGTGGTTGCACCCAGACATCGGGAAGTCAGTTTGCCTTTCCACGTCGATTGAGTGTACTGGCAGCAGACTGGTGTAGATTTACCCAACATCAGAATTGTCTGCTGTGCTGTGACGTTAGTTATTCCTATTTGTAGTGATTTGAATTAATCCCTTCTGGAAGAAGACATTTGGCCTGTGTGTACCCTTGGGATTGTGCGGTGCATTGTAGGGGTGCGCTTTGTGTGTCACTATTCCCATTGTCCTCCTTGCCTGCCTGGTTCAGCAGGCAATTAAGTCTTCTTGTCCGTGTATGTCTCGGCCTCAACATTCAAATGTGCTTGCTAATGCCGTATTGTCCCATTAGGTCTACTGTCCAGACTATTTATTAATCTATGCCTATCCTCACATTGAACTGCAGACAACGAGGTTGCGATTGCAGGAACAGGTAATCGCGTTGGTTTGCTTTCCTCCAAGATTTGAATGCTAAATTCGTAGGGCAACAAATTAACGCCTAGATAAATAAGGCGTTCTGATAATGAATACCGATCGTGTGGATATGAATAGGTAATTGCTAACCTCGTTGCTAAGCTGCAAACGAATTGCAGTGAGCTAAAGGGGAAAGAACTAATGACGGCTTGATTTCCTCTTTTAGTGCCCCAGTGCCCTTCTAACCGCAGCCATTATCTCTCAATTCAAACTGGCTGGTCAATGGATACCTGTCTACACATTATGTGGATGTACCTGTCTCATCGGTAAGTGGAGAGCGCTGCGATACAGACGTGTTTGTCTTCTGTCAGCTGGTACTGAGTTCACTCGACACCGTAGTGTTTGCGTCAGAGAACTTGACCTTAATTTAGTCCTTTCGTGAATGCCTTCCGTGAGCCCAGGCGTTGCCAGTGGTTTGCTCGCCTATTACAAATATTTCATTATGAGTTTCCTTCAGGTGGTGGTAGAACCAGACATGAATCAAGCTTGTCGACCACTCCTATTTAAACTCAGTTTTCCGATTCGGGACGATTGCAGCGGGATAACGCACCGTTTAGAAATAAATGTAAGCAATTTTAGCAGTTCTGTTGATGCATCACCCAAGGGTAGATGCATCGCACCCACAAACGCCACTTTTAGTCATGTCACTACGGGGAATGAATATGATTTCAAACCAACGTGTCATGATCCCACCTCGGTGCTGTTTAGCGTGACAATGCGTTGACACCTGCACCACCTGGGTGGGGTAGATGGTGGCAACTAACGGCGTGTGTCTCTACCGTGTGCCACGATTTAACAAATGTCACCCAGTTTGCAGAACTGTCTGCTGGTTTTCCAGTTGTCTGCACATAGCCCATGAGAACGAGCAGTTGAGAGGGCACTGTCTGCTGCCTGATTCACTTGTGATGAAACGAGATATGACTTGCGTTTGTCAGCGTCCGTTAAACGAACGAATTATGGAATAAATCGTTGACTATTCCCAGACCGTCCACTCATTGTCCACTCATCATCCACCCCACACACACGTACTGCCTCACCCTCAGATGACCACTTGCGTTGTGTCTATTTGACAACATTCGGATCCATACAATGAACAACTTGTCCTTCAGAGGCGGAGACAGAGACAGAGACAGGGACAGACACGGAGGCGGAGAGAGGGAGAGAGTGAGAAAGGGGGAGTGAATGAACCGAGTGAGGCCTGGTAGAAGTGTCGGATACAAGTTCTCCTCTGATTCCAATGATGACAGCATTATCTGACTGCATTCTTCACCTGCCTCACCTCAAACTACAAACCACATTCGTACGAAAAGATTTGCCCTACATTAAAGGGCTAAGGAGGGTGTTGGCGTTTAATGGAAGGAGGGAAAGAGGAGGGGAGGGATCTGTTGCTCCGCCCTTATCCTCGGCCATCTATCCGCCTGCGATTGCAGGTTGTCTTATTCTGTCTCCGTTTTCGATTGTCTGTATTTGTCAACTGTTGATACTAACATGGTCAATACCGAAAATGGTAGTCCGTCTGTGTGTAAAGCCGTGATGTGCGTAGCAGGTCTTTTCTTCGATTTCAATAAATGGTTGCTTGGACTCCGCTGCAGGTTGCTGTGAAAATGCGCGTGTTGCATTATTTGCACTACATTTTCTACCACTTTCTCAAGATTCCGTTTCACCTAAACAAAAATCCGCATTTTTAATGGGAGGAAAAGCCTCTTCGGTAGTTACTTCAAAGCATGGTTTGCTTTTAAGTGAACAATGAAAGGGCTAATCTCTATCTGCACGGGAATCAGTTGAGATCAACAAACAAACACAAGTTGTAGACGCCTATGTTAGATTAAAGGCTTCCAGTTTAAGAGTAAAGGAGAGGCAGTGCCTATTAGGAAGTTGCGTGGTATAAATCCTTCAAAAGACTTTTTCGGGAATGTCAAAGTTAAGATACATCACGATGGTGCGTGAGGGTTGGAAGGAGTCCTGTGCGGTCTGTATTCGAAGTAGCAAAGTTCTCGCGATTGGACATGCAATAACGCCGAGATATTTCTGCGCTTTCTTTTCTTGGACGTATTTACAGCCTTCATCCTCGCCCTCTTCATCCGCGACAAAGATGCGCATTGCGTGGGTTTCACCAACAATATCTGCGCTGCGATTTGTGATCCCTTGCGCAAGGGATATTTGGAGGAGACCTTGGAGGATTTGGACGAAACTTTCGAATCCGATGGGCCCTCGTCAATAGCACTGCAAAAGTCTGCCTAGATTTTGACCCGTTCCTTTTTGCCAATCGTATAAAGAATAAATATGACTTCGCGCATTGGTGCCTTTCTATATTGCATGAAGCAGCGTAGAGTATGCTGCTCTGTTGGAAGGCTCTATAGCAGGTAAAGGGGAGACGCCCGATTGCGCATTAAGGTAGAGAGTGTATCGACTATTCGGCAACATCGGTTGCACAGCAAGGGCTATTGCGAATGAGCCATTTGGTATGCTGCAGTAAAGTCATCTTGTTGTGAAAGGCATATTTGAGGATGTGGACCAAACTGGCAGTCTAGGGCCATACCAAAACCACCTATTTATTATTACATAGTTGCAGTCCTGACTGCTTCAGCCAAGTCCTAAGCGTAACCAGTGGAATTTTAGACTAAATACAGTTTACATAGAATTGAGTCGCGAAGAGAGCATTGACAGAGGAGGCGGATGGTGGTGTGTGGGCGTAGCAGTTAGAGTCAGTCAATCAGAAGACGACACGGATGCTCCGATTCGGTAAGTCAATGTCGACCAGTATGAAATAAGCTGCCACTATCTCTCTTGATGGCATTTTGTTTGATCTTGAATGTTGCGAGATTGCTCTCTTGTGGTCCCTTCAGACAGTTGGATCGGTTCCCCGTTTCTGCCAGTTTGGGTCTCAGTTCTTTTTTCACAGATTGCATGTTGTCCTCGTAGTCGGGTGCGGTCATCATCAGCAGTTTAAATTCTTCCAGCAAAATTGTCACTTACACTGTTGAATTCGATTCGGTTCGCATGTCAAACCCATATTTTGATGCCAGATTGGAGATGACCACAGTACCAGATGATTTTTCTGACGCTCGGTTCGTCCCTTGACTTGCCCACGT